AAATTCGGAATTCTCTTCAGTAACCTGTCTTTTAATAGTTGCCTTCGGGCGTGCTCCTTGCTCCATGACGGAAGTCCGTTGCATTTTCTTTGCGGCATCTGTTCACTTTCTCATCTCACACACTTTCAGTTCACCTTCGATTCTCCGAACATTAATGGCCAAAAGTAAGCGACACAAAACGGAATTTACCGCAACAGCTCCTAACATATTACACTCAGCGATTACGACATCAGCAACATCCAGGGATTCTCCGTGGTGCGTCTTGATTCTTTTCATGGCTATACTCAAGCCTCTATTCGGTCTCATGCTGAATGTAGTTTACAGGCACAGCAAATCATCCCCGACGGTGGTTGCTCCACCGTTACCTGCACTAACGTGAACTGCCCATGCAACCAAGTGAGCTTCGGTTTAATTTGTACTACCCAGGGATATCATGAGCTCGCCTAAACCTGTCGTATTGGGAATTTCCCATTAACTCATCGCATCATCGGGAAACTACTGATTCGATGCTGACTGTTCATCACCTGTAGGCCTATCGCCCCAACGACATATCGGGAACCTGTGGTGGAACCGGCCCGGTTGACCAGGCCACGCGCGTATGCGCTAGTTCGGGCTATTCAATTGTGTAAGTTCCTTTTTTGTGGGGATCATGTCCGAATGCTAATAGATACTAGCTACTGCCCATAAATCCGCGAGGCATGATAACCCTTCAAATTTGAGTGTCAGGGATCGACTTTAATTGACACAAACCGTTTTTGAATATTATCACAATTTTTAATCGCTTTCTCTACCGCAGTTTTATGAGCAGAAGAGCAGAGTGTAACTGAAGTTCCCGATCAAATAATGCGGGGATCAGATATCTTCCATTCACCATATAAATTCTGAAAAACAGCGCAAATCTGAATCATATCACAGTTCTAGCCAAATCTCGCGACGAAAACATACTGCACGAATCAGCGCTCACACACTTTGGCAACATTCCTTTTTAAACCACACACCGAAAATATATTGATCGGAGATGGCCGGCGCCACAGAAGGCGGTGGCAAACAAGCGCACATTACGTCTCATCTTTCTTAAATTAAATTCTTTCCGCCACCAATGATGACCAAACGACAACGCTCTCCGACTGGTGCGGCCACACTCCGCGCGGATGATTTTGCTGCTTCCTCAATTCACTGCGTTCAGAGTGGCCGTAGGCAAAGGGCTGTGCCGACGTTGGTAGGCACAGGTAGACACAGATGCGAGTAGACATAGTGTGCCGACCGTTGGCACTCAGGGCGGAGTGGCGCGCACGCAGTAATATAGAGGTTTGCTCCAATGCGTGTGGAGTGCCACTGTGGACAAGATATATTTGGTTGTCATGTTGCCATGGCACAGCCTCAACACTGTTTGCCGGCACATCGGAAGAAACCGGGTAGTAACCGCCGTTTCCTCTACCGTTTTGCCGCCGGCGCCGCTTAGGTGCTTCGGCGCTTCCCACAGCTTAAAATAACCTACGGTGACATGGATAGGGCACAGTCATCGCGCGAAAAGGCGAGGGAGGTTGTGCTCGGTGTGTCGTGCCAGGTAGACAGAGGTTGTCGCCGCGAGGGCGACAGAGGATCGGCCCAGCGCGACAGATCTGTGTCTCCCTGTGCTGACGTGACGGCCACGCACCCTGCCGCCGAGGGTCGGCAGGGATCGGCTCAGCTGCGCAGACCCTGTCTACCCACGGCCTGAACGCAGTGAATTGGACTCCGGATCCTGCCTCTGGTCGTTCAGACGCGTTCTCATGTCGGACTCGGTCTTCAGTACTCAGATCGGACTTGCACGACTGGCCGTAAAGTCCGAAGAGTACTCTTCCAAGAGTTAAAAGAACATCTTGAGTCCTTTTCCACCACCTTAGGAAAATTGCTAGAGAGGAGAGAGAAGCCCAGTGGTGGATGGTTCCGCGTTTGCAACACTTAAACGCGATGGTGGACGCACAAGCAGAAGACGCTCGTTCGAATAAGTGAGCCTGGCAATGCATTGCTATCACGGTCCAGCCTTTTATTCACCTCACGGAAATTCGCCATCTAGTTAGGTATCAAAAGAAGGTGGAAAGGCCCAGTGGCAGGATCTCCCCGCATCTGCATATGTGGCAAAAATTTACAAGTCTACGCAGAATATGCTCGTTCGACTCGAGTCTAGGTCATGTTGTTGCCGCGTAGCGCTTTTGCTTCAGCTCATTGAAAATCAAACCACCTTAAGTACTAGGTTTCTAGCTATAGAAATGTAGGCCCAGTGACGGAAGGTCCGCGTCTGCTAATAGCTATTCTTGGCCTAAGCGTATCATCAATGTATGCAGAATTAGTTTGAGTCTTTGTCATGGATGTTCTTTGACTCCTTTTTTATTTACCCCGTTGAAAATCAACAAGCCTAGCAAAGTTTTGAAAAGGGTCTAGTGGTGAATGGTCCACATCTGCTCAACTTTCGGGTATTCCACGTCGAAACAGATGCTCGTTCGATTCGAGCCTGGGTCATAGGGGTGGTTCCAACTATTTCTTCAACTCGCTGAAAATCACGCATATATTTAGGTTTCAAAGGAGGAGTAAAGAGGCTCAGTGGCGGATGGCTCCGCAATTGCAATTGTTGAGAGAACTTCGCGCTTGCAAGAGTAAGCAGAAGAAGCTCGTTCGAACCGAGCCTGGGCCATTGTTGTTCTCTCTGGTTCAGTTTTATTTTGCTGGTTGAATGCCGGCCCATCTATTGAGAACTCAAGGGAGGAGAGAAAGGCCCAGGAGTGGATGGTTCCGCGTCTACTACTCTTTGGAGGACAATAAAAGTGGATGTAAGCAGAAGTACTTCGTTCGAGTCGAGCCTGGGCCATTCCGGATCTTGGAGAAATATTTTTTCAACTTGTTTAAAGTCAACCCTTCTAGTAAGGTTCAAGGGAGGAGAGGAAGGCCCAGTGGCGGATGGTCCGCGTTTGCTAAACTTTCGATGACCTCAAAATGAATGTAAGCAGAAGTAGCTCGTTCGACTCGAGTCTGGGCTACGTCGCGGTTCCAAATCTTTTTCTTCAACTCGTCGAATTTCAAACCAACCTACTAGGTTTCATAGGAGGAGTAAAGAGGCCCAGTGGCGGATGTTTCCACATCTGCAATTCTTGAGAGAACTTGGCGCTTGTAAGAGTCAGTAGAATATGCTCGTTCGAATCGAGCCTGGGTCATAATTTGGCCTTCCCGGAGTTTTTTTTCAATTCAACCAACCACCTGACTTTTCCGGGAGGAAGGAACGGCCCAATGGCGGATGGTCCGCATTGCTGAACTTATGTGTATACAGCAGAAGTATCTCGTTCGATTCGATCCTGAGGCATGGTTCTGCACTTTGTGGGCATTTTTTTTATCTAACATGTTACTGCTCTTTGCGGAACTTAGAGCAGGAGCAATTTTTTCCCAAAAAGGGGTGATTTTGATCGTTTTTACCATAGCGGCGATTGCGCCTCCAGTTTCTATCTGTTTGCCCTGAAGGTGGGACAGAACGATTCGCCGCGAGAATCAACAGGCGCCTGCATTGTCGAATAAATATTTCCGTCATTACGCACTACCATTAGCTTATTTTGTCACGTATTTAGCATAACACTTCTAATGGCCAAACTAATGAAGCTAGATGCCTCATTTATGTCCTAAATTCAAGTGAATACTATTGCGGAGGTGCCTCAGGGTCCAAAATCATTTTTCAACATGTCCAAGTGATGTTGCAAGAGATGCAGTCACATGCACGTGGGTTAACAGTAACCCACGTCGCAAAATGATTTTGGACTCCTAGTCACCTGCGCAATACTATTCACTTGAGTTGACCACACACGGGACATCCGGCTTCATTAGTTTGGCCGTTAGAAATGTTATGCTAAATACATGACCAAATAGGCTAATGGTAGTGCGCAGTGACAGAAATATTTATTTAAAGATGCAGGCGCCTGTGTATTCTCATGGCGAATCATCCTGTCTTTCAGAGAAAACTGATGAAAAGAGCAGTAATTTCAATTCTGTTTAGCAGAGTTTATGGGTGAGAAGAAAAGGCCCAGTGGCGAATGGTCCGCGTTGAGGAAGAATGTCGAAAGTAAATAGATGGTGCTCGTTTGAATCGAGCCTGGACTGTTTTATTCACCTCATCTAAATTCAACCCATCTATTAAGGTTTCCAGGGAAGAGAAAAAGGCCCAGTGGCGGATGGTTCCAAAAGATGCTCGTTCAACTCGAGCCTGGGCCGTTCCGGATCGTAAAAGAGTTTTTTCTTCAACTCGTTGGAATTCACCCCATCTATTCAGGATTCAAGGGAGGAGAAGAAAGGCCCAGTGGCGGGTGGTTCCGTGTCTGTGATTCTTGATTTGGATATCTGGGAGTAAGCAGAATACGCTCGTTCAAATCGAGCCTGGGTCATGGGGGGCTCCAAATATTTAATTTTTTCTTCAACTCGTTGAAATTTACCCATCTATTGAGGTTTCAAAGGAGGAGTGAAGAGGCCCGGTGGCGGTTACTCTTTGGAGGACGATGGAAGTGCCTTGTTGCGCGAACTTGCCTTTTTTTAATCAACTCCTCGAAAGTCACCCCCATCTATTTAAGTTCCGAGGGGGGGGATGACAGCTCAGTGGCGGCTGGCCCGCGTCTACTACTGTTTGGAGGACAATAGAAGTAGATGTAAGCAGAAGACGCTCGTTCGATTAATTGAGCCTGGAAATGCATTAGCATCGCCGTCCAGCTTTTTATTCACTTCACCATCTATTGAAGATTAAGGAGAAGTAGCTTGTTTGACTCAGGCCTGGGTCATGATGGCGTTTCGGTTGATTTTCTTCTTATTCTGCTCCCTGACTTTCACTGACCGACTTGAAAAACTGCTAGGGAAGAGGGTAAGGCCCAGCGACGGCGTTTGCGATACCTGAAAACCAGACACTGTACCGAGCGGATACCCTCGTTCGACTAGAGCCTGGGCCTTCCTTCATGAACCAACATCACCGACTTTCTAGGAATGTAAATATAGACCCAGTGGCGGATGGTTCCGTGTCTGTATAACTTGTTGGTGGAACGTGTCGAAATACGCAGAAGTAGCTCGTTCGAATCGGGTCTGGGTCATGCCCACATCCACTACGTTCCGCAGCCTCCTAGGCATAGCTGTGCCTATGTTAGCGTAGGTCTGGGTAGGTCTGCCTAGACGGCTAGGCAGATCTGCCTAGCTGTGCCTAGCTGTGCCTAGGGCTGTGCCTAGGGGGCTACGCAGACCTACGCAGACCTACGCTCAGTTAGACAAACTGAGCGTAGGTCTGCGTAGGTCTGCGTAGGTCTGCGTAGGTGTCTGCCTAGGGGCCCGCGGAACGTAGTGATCCCGGTGGAAGCTCTTTTTGATTCCACTCGTCGTAGTCCGACCATCTATTTAGGTTTCGAAGGAGGAGAAAAAGGCCTGATAGTGGATGGTTCCGCTAGTGATTCCAAGAATTTGCAAAAGGAGTCAGAAGTAGCTCGTTCAATTCGAGCCTGAGCCATACTATGTCTCGCTCAATGTCAGTTTTTATTCCACTGGTTCAAATTCAACCCACTCAACTGAGTTTTGGGAATGAAAAGAATCGCCCAGTGGCGGAAGGTCCGCATCTGCTAAATTTAAAGAGTTGGCACAGAAGAAAATAAGCAGACGGTGCTCGTTCGAACCAAGCCTGGGCTATGTTTGGGCGGCTGACATTTTTTTTTATTCAACTCAAGTTCGAATTGAACCAACTTACTCGGTTTCAAAGGAAGAGGATAAGGTCCAGTGGCGGATGGTCCGCGTCCGCAAAACGTTGGGTGAGATGGAAGTGCGTTACAAGCAGAAGTAGCTCGTTCGAATCGAGCCTGGGTCATCGTTTCCATGGAGCAGAAATTTTATTTTGCTGGCTGAAATTCAACCCACTTATTAGGTTTCAAGCAAGAAAAGGAAGGCCCAGTGGCGGATGGTCTGCCTCCGCAATATAATCAAGGGCATACTGTGTACACGGAAGATGTATATTCGACTCGGGCCTGGGCCATAGCTTTGTATCGATCGTTTTTATTGAACTCGTCTAATTTCAACGGCCTTAGGAATTCACTAGGGAGGGCAGAAAATGCCCAGTGGTGGATGGTTCGCATCTGCTGAGCTTGCGATACAGCCGAGTGCCAAAGCAGAAGCGCCCGCTCAAATTGAGCCAGGGTCATACCCGCGATGGTAGCTAATAGCTCGCTGAAAATCAACCAACCCCACTGAGTTTCAAGATATAGAAATATAGCGGATGGTTTCGCATCTGCAATTCTTGTGCGGACGTTGGGAGTGTGAGAGTACGCAGAAGTAGCTCGTTCGAATCGAGTCTAGGCCATATTTTGACTTTCCACAATTTCATTTTGTCTCGACTGATTTAAATTCAGCTGCATCTAGTTAAGTTTCAAAGGAAGAGATAAAGGCCTAGTGGCAGATGGTGCCGCATCTGCGATGCTTTGCAAACTAAGGTACCATTAAGTAAGCAGCCTGGACTGTTCTTTCGTGAACTTGACTTTTTTCTTCAACGCTGCGTTGAATGAGATACAACACCCCATCTATTTAAGTTTCAAAGGATGAAGATGTAGGCCCAGTGGCAGATGGTTCCGTATCTGCATGAAATAATCGGGTGAGAATTTCGAAGCAGAGGAAGCTCGTTCGACTCGAGCCTAGGCCATGATTTCTCACAGCATCCTATGACGGTTCCTTTGTACAAAAATTATTTTCCGTGCGCGCGACCCCAATTTTGCGCGCGCGCAGTAGAATATATTAATAATACATAGAATGGACATGAGCCTTCAGCTACAGTGTGAGAGGTATTAAATGTCCGTCTTCGTAGTGGTGTAAAGGGAATGAGGAGAGATCAGTAAAAAAAAACGAAAGTGTGAGTATGAGGGAGGTGTCTATTTCAGACAACGAAGTCCGTCTGGGAGGACAACCCGTTTGATGACTCGGACAAAGAAGTGGAGAAGGCGTCAGAGGAATTGACGGTGTACTTGATGGGGCATAGCAAAGACAACAGGATATGTACATGGAGCGCTCCACTGGCTTTACTCCCATGAGGGCGAGGCCTGGTAAGAATGACTCCGACTTGCCCGTTCGATGTTTGAGCGGGGCTCAAGGGAGACCACGACGGTGACGTCGGACTGTAAGCAGGCGAGGCGGGAGCTGAAGCACCAGTTAGTATTAAGTGGGGGAAATAGATAGGCGGATACTGACAATACAAAGGTGCTGTCAAAGGGGTATCATTGTCAGTGTCACAGTATATTGTCTAAAGAGCAAAGGAAGGAAATCTCACAGGCCGGAGAATACGTCGGGGAGGTCGGCGCTGTATGAAGAGTGTGAGTTTACCATACGAAAATAAGAGTATTTTGGAGACGACGACAAAACCATGGGTGAGGTGGGTGAATACTTCGGCGACGTAGGCGAGAGCTGCGTTGGGGCTTACAAAAAGACTAGTCAGTCAGTGTACAACTTGGGAATGTAGCACGCTTACAGGCTGTGAAAAGGTGGAACAAAAAAATGGTGAAATTGAAAAGTAGAATAGAGATCACTTGCTTGGAGAATCTAAGACAAGAATCAGCACCAAGCACGAATAGAACGAAACACACTTACACCGTGGCAACGCCGGGCTGAACGACGAGCTCGTCGGGGAGTACCGGGGTGATGTGGGGCTGAACGACGGCGATTGCGGGCTGTACCGCGGCGAAGTCGGAGAAAACGATGGGGAAGTGGGGGAATACTGCGGGCTCGCTGGTGAGTATCTTGGCAACGCCAAGATCATAGGCGACGTAGGGGAGTACGTCGGTGAAGTGGGTCCGCGGGCTCCACGATCGTAAAACGGCGACGTAGCATACGGCGACGTCCCGAAAGGTGATGTTGCGCCTCTAAACGGCGACTGCGGCACGTACCCTGGCGATGTGGGCAAATACATATTGGGGGAGCTCAGGCTGTACTGCGGGCTAGTGGGCGACATTCCACCTGAGCCGACTGGGGTTTGACCTCATCTGGGCTGGAAAGCGGTGAAATTCGGCCTGTCGTCGCCACCGTTGACGGCCAGAGGTGAAAACGAAGCTTGATCTCCTTTGAAGACTCCATCCTGCCAGACCAGGCAGTTCGTGTCGTATGGAGTCATCGCGACCTGCCCCGGTGTCATACCACCGTCGGCCTGTGCAGCCAGCATCAACTGTACCGGTAATCGGTGGTACAATTCGACCTCGCCAAGTACCCAGTCAAACACCTCGCAATTCAAGTGCACGCATATGGAGGCCTGGAGGACTGGAGATGGTCGATGGAGAGGAATTTGGGAGGACGTTGGATGCAAGAGATGTCAATAATCACGATGCAGAAATGTAGCCAACAAATCTAGTGAATTTGGTGCATGGAAGAAATAAGATAGATGATGTTACAGGCAATACAAATGGATGCAGAGAACAGATGGTAAGAAAGGCGAAAGGGAAATCACAGCTCCTGGGAGGCGTCGCCCTTCTTGCCGTTATTCTGTACGCACAGTCAATAAAACAAATTGGCGAGAGGTAATAAACACGAGCACGTACTGGTTCTTGTGGGCAGCAGCGAGGGGTCAATGTGTGGTACGACACCGTCCTGGGAGACGACAACGGAGCCGAGCAGCTGGGGTGACTTGTGAGCAGGAGTGAGTAGAGGCAGACTGGTGAACGCACGTTGCCGAGCCCCTCGTCGTTCCAGATGGCGAGGCACGATACAGTGCTTGTTATAGCGGGCTGCGTTGCCGGCGAGTTCGAGGATCTCTGCGGCGAGGTATTCTAGCATGGCGGCGAGGTAGACTGGTTGGGTGGTGTGTTAGAGAAAGCAAGTGAATGAAAACAACCTACCAGGTGCGCCGGCACCGACACGCTGGGCGTAGTTGCTCTTTTTGAGCAGACGGTGAATACGACCGACGGGAAGAAGAGTTCCTGTGGCGTTAATCCACGCAGGTAGGAGTTTTCGACGAAACCGCGTGCCTCCGGGCTGAAGTCGCCCTTCGTGAAATGCGGTAGCATCCGATGACGGAAGCTGAACGGCATACGGGTCCCGGCCATACTGGTGGTATCGAGAAGAGTGGCAGGGAATAATCCGAAGAGGAGGACTTACGAGTTTGCCAGCGGTGGCAAAGTCGGCTAATCAGCGGTAATTGTGACTGTTTGGTTACGGTTGGTCATTACGAGTCCTAAAAATTTATTTTTAGACTCGTTCTTTTCCAATCTTTTACACCAGGAATTCATCATTTTGGCCGATGACGATTTGTGTAACGTGGGAATTCTCTTGGCATTCTTACGGCAAAATATCTTGGCATGGTAGGCTTTGAATTTGAACACGCCTTGGATAAGAAGCAGGATAAATTGTGAGCCCAGCTAGGTCCCCTTTCGGAACGTGCCGGGTTGTAGTCTACTCGTACATGCGGCCCAACTACGTACTTTCAACTACGCTGATACCCATTTACCTTCGACGAGCTGACCACGTTTAAGGCTGTAGATCTAAGCACCTGGATACCAGCAACAGCACACAGCAGTCTGGGACATTAGAGCATCGGACGACGTGAGGATGCCGGTCGGCGTAACGGCCGAGTCGAAAAGATACGAAACGTTTGCGAAGCAAATTTAGCAATACGGCAAACTGTCTCTTTATTGAAGATAATCTTCTTCAGAACGACCGTTGCATTCTCCTCATTTTGCAAGGTTAACACTGACGGGGCTTTGGCTGAAACCGCGCGGACAAATTTATGCCTGACATCTGCAAGGTTCTCTGACCCTCCGCAGAAGAACAGGGCATGCTCCACAGTCTCAACATCATCGCAGCCAAATCGACATAGACGCAAGTGCCTTTCAACTCTCCAATAATATCGGGAGTTGTAACGCAAGCTCTCTATGGCAAGTCCATGTTGACTAAGGAGTAGTCGTGTCAATGCCCGTCGATGATCAGCGTTCACCACCAATTTCAGATAGTGACGAAGAATGGCAGTAATAGGTCGTGCTGAACCCTCCTCAACAGGTTCGTCTCGTCCATGCAGTAGATACAAACGCGTAGAGCCTATAATGGCAGCTTCCAAACTCGTCATGGCTGAGAAGTAAATCTG